AGTACGCCAAGTCGCTCAGGTACCAACCTGCTGGGTCTTCGTTTTCACCGATCGTTAGCATTCCTTTCTCTGCTGAACCCTATGAACCACTCCTCGGAGCCTGTGGCATGGTTGAGCGCTCACTATTGCATCTGATCTATATTATATTGGCGAGGTCCTGCCAGTGTAACAATCAACCTCAGGTCTCACATCCACCAAGCACTCTGCCATACTCTTGTCTTTATACGACTCTCACATTGTTCATTGCATATTTATATTCTACCTACACAGTATGTCTATGTACTCGACACCTTTGAGCATCACTGACTGAGCATTAGTCCTACCTCGCCATCATGGAGCAACGACGTGTCCAGTCCTTCACTTCGAGCCCTTACCAATACGTGGTGGACTATCCTGGATCGCAGGATCTCTCCCGATGTGATTCGCATGAGCCTATCCCCATGAAGCATGGTAACGGATCGTACGATGAACGGATGTCTTTCCACCACCTTGCTCGCGAGACATCAACTACGCGATCATTGAGCGCTCCGATAGACGCCTTCGATCCATGGCTACTCGAGGGACCAGGTTGTGGCAGTCCGATGTCCACAAGTTCTTCGATAAGCCACAACGAGAGCCTTCCCACGCCACCTTACACCGGCATGCCAATGTACGATAACGTCGAAAGCCCGGCATTCCATCATGTTCGCTCTCCAGTCAACCACGAAGCCTGGGCAGCAGAACCAGAACATGTCTGGAGACCGAGTTACCCTGATCTTCCCACATGGGGCTCGCAACAGTTTTCGTTGCCTTACCACGGTGGTCCAGCCTGCGAGCAGATGTCACTGCAACCGGTTCAGCAATACGTCCCTCACTCTGGCCCTTCAGTAGCCCCGGCATACATTCCCTACCACGCACCAGCTCCTTTCGCTACTGCCAGGGTTGCTAACCCAGGGCCCTTGAAGAAGGAACTGGCTAGTGACGCTGGACACAGTGATAAGGAAAGCGACTCAGAATCCGAAGACTCTGAGAGTGATGATGATGCCTCGTTGCACGGTTCGTCATACTCGTCCTCCCGGCGGTCTGGAGCGAATGCCAACGTCATGAAGCTCGGAAAATGGGGCGAGAATCCTGCTTCGTATCCCCTTCACCACACGCTTGACGTAAGGCACTGGCAATGTCCTCTAGACGACAAGGATCATCCTGGAGTCCCATGCCCTAAAAGATTCCAACGACCGGAACACCTTCGACGCCACGTCAGGACTGTCCATGGCAATGATAGGTGCCATTTCTGCAAAGTGTGTCCCAAGACCTTTTCTAGGGGCGACAACCTTCGCGATCACTACTGGACGCACGTGAACCGTGGAGGCAGAGCAGGGAAGAACAACAAGATGAGCATTCCCGAGTTGAAGGCAATTCTCGGTCCCAAGGAGCGGCCGCTCATCAGACGTCTCAAGATGAAACTGAACCTGCTGAAGGAAAGGAACATGAGAGCGAAGCTTTGATTGAAAGTAGTGGGCTTCATGTCACTGCTGATGATGTTTACATGATTTCTTCTTCTTATTTTACATTACTTTTTGAGGGTACCTGGCGCTGGGGAGGCAAGTCATCGTCGTGCTTCGGCATGCTTCTGTACCATTTCTTCTAATTCTCCACTGTTCATAGATCTCTTTAGCGCGAATAGCTGTATGAATGAACTTAAAATTTTAATGAACACCCTGCTATTCTGCTGCACTCTGGACTCTGCTAGGTGTGACACCTGAAAGGCCCAAAACGGAGTTTTGAAAACGCCCACCTAACGACCAGTCGAAGAACGCCTCATGAGGCGCTTCGCTTAGCATTACTCGTTATCCGGCCCCTAACACCGAGGTTGGATTTCAGGATCTCTCGTTGCGCCTAGCGAGTCGTCCCAGCATGGCAATCATCGACGACTGCGACAGCTTGATCCGACTACACGCTAATGCATCATTCTGAACTGATTCCTCGATCGAACATGCATGGAAAGAATAAACATCGGTCAGAAGATCACATACAGCCAATCACCTTTATTCGCAGAAAAAGATTGGGGGCACCCTCACCGATTACACACAGCCCCGACGACAGGGAGAGGCGATATGCAGGTGCTTGTCAGCGGAAAACGCCCGGTTCGTTAGATTCCGTGGAGAGGAGAGACGTGCGGTTTTAGCTAGCTCTCTGACTTGCCGGATAGATGAGCACACTGCATGGCAGCAGGGTTGTACCCTGTGAGGGATGCCTAGGTAAGCTGTCAATGCTCTGGCGAAAGCAGGAGTGAACTTCCAGGAAGACAAGTTCCCGCGCACTGACCACGATCGAAGGATGATCTCTGACTGAAGGTGTCCTGTACGCTGTATGTGGACGTTAGTGTCGTACGATTTACGATTCCAGATGCGATCTTACGATGGGAGGAATACCAATCCAGATTGCAGGTCCTTCACCGATACTTGTCTCCCCGCATCTGGCAAAGCGAAATTGTAATCGCTGAAAGTCTGCATCTCCCCAACCTCAACCTCGAGAATGCGTTGAGATTGGGAATGCATGCTCACCGGAACAACATCATTGGATCGACCAGCATAATCGCGGTGAAAGAAAAGACACTGGTCTGCCATTGCGGTTCGTGCGCCGCTCGAATCGACGTATGGGAAGGCATATCAGTTTTCCGCGCGCCGCAGCGCTTAGAGGAGCCAACGAGAGTGCGGCACAGCAAGCCACAACCCGGCGCAGCACCCCTTCTCAGATTAGAATCTGCAATTCACCCGCATTAACCGCCTAGTCTGAGGGCTCACTCATGCACGCAGAGTAGTCTCATACGAAAGTAGGGCCTCGCACAGTTGTTGTAGGAGTAGGATGCATTTGTAGTAGAGAATGACAGGGTATCTACTCCAACGGCGACGTCACTGGCGCTGTAGTCGCATGTCTATACGTGCAGCTCGTTGTGGGTATCTTGGAGAAATATGGGTTGCGAAGACTGTAAGAATGCACGTAGATAGGATCAGTCTGGCGAAAGAGGGGGCAAGAGCGCCTCTGGGCCACACCATGATACACCGTAGGAGGAACAAAGGATGGCGTCTGATTCTGGTCACCCACGAAACGCTTTGTCTAGACAAATTTGCTGACATGAAAACGCTAAAAAGACATATTATAGACGCCAAAGATCAAGTAAGAACGATGACACCCAACACGTCCTTCACACCCCCAGAAAAGAACCCAACAACAAGCACATCCTGATGTAGAACAACTTTGCCGTAGACGTACAGTTTCTGTTGAAAATATGTCCCAAAGCGTCGAAAATATGGGCAGCTCACCTATATCGCCTTCCCAATCCGAACTGACCGCGCTTCTGCGCTACCTGCTGGCAGATGACCCACTACCCCACACTTGAAACTTGCCTTACAGATTACAACAGCGAATTTCAGTGATTGGACGTTCATCGTTCGACACAACACCCGCTTCACCGTTCGGCCCGGGGCTAGATAGGACACTGCCGACCCTTTGCGTTGAGGCAGGTACCGACCGTAGCTTCAACTCATCATTGCCCTTGCATACGATGGCTTCAATCAGTATGCGGGCTTTCTGGATGAGGTTTGAACACCATCAGAATGATGGTTGGGCACGCGCACATTTCCAATCTTCCATTGAGCCCCAGACATGCGCTGAGCATGATGCAGCAAGGCCCAAGCTCTTGCATGATTCGAATCGAGATATGATCGAATCGAACGCATCACACCAATCTTGACTGGCTGAGTATGTCTGTGCCCCGCCCAAATCCAAGGCCACCAGGTAGAAGGCAGCATCTGCACATGAAGCCTCTGTACATGGGTCGACTTGCTACACACCACTACCTAGGTAGCTTGTGCTGTATTGGCGATCAGTACCTCGCGCGACATGCGGTGTAGATTTCGTGTCGCACCTTCATTGAGCCATGATGATTACTTCGATGCATCCTGCAACATCATCATCCAACTCCCCGCTAGCTTCCGCTGTGATTGCCGGGATTGCCGCGCACCCGTTTCGTCACGCCTTCGTAGACGGCGTCTACCCCTCAACGAGGTAACGATCCTGCGCACTTCCTTCCCCTCTAGCGTGTAGTACGGATCGTCTGATCAACGTCTCCTCGCTTGCAGGAAAGCGGTCGATAGACGCATCACTGACGAAAGGACAAAGCCCTTGCGTAGACGTTTGCAAAGACGTTCCATGCTACGCATGCAGGCGGGCAGTCGACCGTTCAGCGGCCCGAGCAGAGTTGGTGGAGGAATGCCGGTAGTGGCTGCCAGTCGTAGTGGTCGATTCAGCCGTGTGGTCTTCCAGACCTCTCAGCTTATCAACGCTAGGAAGTGGACTGTGCGACTCCAAGTTTCCAGCCTTCTAGAACAATGATGTCTGCTAAGCTGTGAACTGGAGCTTAACAATAGAACCAACAATCTTGCTGGAGGTGCGATGACGTTTACTGTCCCTTGATGCTGCAATGGATGGCTCATGTGTGTATGGGCGGGCGTGCATGCGACACCGCCTGCTTCGCCTCCACACCTGCTCGTCCTCAATCGTAAGGTCCAACACACCACCTCAGCTTGCAGCACGCCAACAGTGCTATTATTACCACCGCATGACGACTAATGTGATACAATACGTTGAGATGATGTTGATGGAGGTGGAAATGACCATGAGCTGGGAGACGTTTCTTGGATCCTGAAGGACGTTCGCGTGCCGACGGGTAGGCCAGTGATGGGTGTGGTCTATTATGTACCGCTTTACGGCATGAGAGTGCTGCTGGAGTCGAATGACAGATTCGGGCGCATCGATGTTGCGATGATTCGCTGCGTTCACGATTCGGGACAGACCCATGTTGTCCTTCGCTCAGGCGCGATGGCACTTTAGCTACGCAATATAGAGGATTTGACGCTACGAAAATTCGGAAGATACACCGTGAAACGGTGACCTCTCAAGTGCCAGGCCTAAAACCTGGAGGCAGCTTCCAGGAATGCCACAGCTTTCACTAAAGCCACTCAACTGATGACGAACTCTGTATCCGTGTAGCTTGACCTGTCTTCGAGGAATTCCCCCTCCATTATTCCTTCCACGTAGGCAGCATCGATGATGATGTACGTTCCATCGTTCTGTGGTCTCAAAACCAGTGGTAGGAGAGATCCAAAGAGGATACACACCACATCACCGCTTTGAGCTTTCATACCCGCAGATGCAACATAGCCGCTTGTCGTCGTGAAAAGGCACCCTTTCCAGTGTGGGTGTGTACTAAAAATGGCTACGATATGGCGGTATAATGTCTTCGCAATGCTGGATTCTGGATCCTCGGCCAGACCGCTCTTTTCCTGAGAAAGCATATGTCGCCAGGTATCGAGCGCTGAATAGCGCTGGAGGACTGCCCATTCATCCACGAGAGCTTTGGGCATCGGTGGCTTGATGCGCGACTTAAGGTTGTCCATACTCCGTCCATCTAAAGCGACACGCCAAACGTCCCCTCTTTCTATCTTTGCGTTGATCTCGTCCGGCGAGAAGCGCTTGCTCCATGCTTTTCGAGCGATATGAGTAAAGTCTTGTAGTGTCTGTAAAAGCCATGGCACGAATGCATTCAAGTGCTGACGGAGAAAGAGCTGGTATAAGAGAGCACTATCTTTCTTCCTGGCCAATTGACTGTAGCAATCGGCAAAAATCATCTGGGATTCTGCGACCGATCCAACGATGGTGCCAGTGATCTTGATAGTACTCGCCTGCTCGTCATGCTGAACGCCAGTAAATTTTCGTCCAGTGCTTGCGCCTTCCTGCACGAGGTCGTAGCGGCGAAACAGATAGTCCTTGAGGTGGTTGGACAGCAGGCGTGAGTTATCTGCGAAATCGTGGGCCCAAGTAGGCTTCTCAGTCCAATTCACTTCCGATCGCCGCACCGCAATGTTCAACAAGAATTCGAGGTCTTGCCGTTCTGTGATAACGCTGACGACGGCTCTTTCGAATGCCCATGTTACACTTTGCGTATAATCAGGCGCGAAAGTTTCATGGGTTTGTCTCTTTACCAGTCCAAGAAGAGCATATACGGAATCCCGAGGATCGGACGCAGATCTCCCATACGAAGCGTATATGAGGTCCTCTAAGGGTATCGTCCCAGAGCTATGGTAGTGCCGATAGACCCGTACAAAGTCTGAAGCTGGATGTTGCCAACGTATTGGGCGATGTTTCTCTTCATGCAACAAGTTCGCACGTTCCACTAGGTTAATGAGATAGGCCCACGAGATCTCTCGAGGCCCCCAAAGTAAGATCGAGTGTTCGTTGGCTACCACACCCTCTTGGATGGTCCAAACCCGCTTCCACCATTGGCTTTTGAACAGCTTGTCGAGTTTTTCGTCAATGTCGAACTCTTCATCCTCGACACCCTCAAAACCCTGCTGTTGCAAGCGTTCTAGATAGTCCATGGCGTGATTGATATGGTCCTTCGCATCTTCGTCACTCATCCGCAATCTGCGAAGCTCGCGATCCGTCCGCTCCACCTGATCCGAGAGTACCATGGTCCCCAGCCAGATAAGCACCCTTGACGCCGATGTGTAGATTTCATGCATCTTTTGAACCTGTTGAGACTTCTCTTCTGGATTGCTTTGGTCTATACACACCGCATCTATCCACAGATCTCGTGTCCGGTCTTCACATCGTACGCGTCTCAAACCGTGAGCGAGATTGCAGGTTATCATTAGTCCCTTACCATCCACTTCGAGCAGTTCTTCTCCGTTCCATTCTCTCCACACATACGAAATGGCTTCATAAGTTGGCGGAGTCGGTGAGAACTGTTCGGTGCGGAGCTTGCCTCGCAGTGGGGCATCACGATCAGATGCCGGAAGCAGACTCAAGATCCGTATTTGAGAGAGGCAACGATCAAGCGCTTGATAATGATAGGTCTTGTCCATATTATAAGTGCGAGCGCCAACGTACACGCTGCGGATATATTCACTGCGCGTGAATTGTCGTGGTGAAGTGTCCTCTGCAACGTACGGAAATCCAGCTTTTGTTAGACGAGATCGTACTAACCGAATTGGGACAACACTTGCTACATGCACCACACATCTCATCGCCACTACGCCATGTTTATGAGATATCGACATCAGTTCGCCAAGCTGAAATCGAATCATTCATCCTGATGTTTAGGAATACAAACCATTGTCCGTTGAAGATAGGCTGTAAATACCAGGCAGTTTGCGCGTACATGGACTTTGAACAGGGCGGCCTCGTCATCTCAACCTCGTTCGTATACTTCTAGTAGGACCTGGGTTCGCAGCTCAACAAGTCTTTGAACCAATGTATGCTGCTGGATCCTGTGATAGCTCATGTACATCGTTCGTATGTCCGTCGATATCCTTCACGCTACAGTGACGAGAGTCAGTCGCAGTCACTTCCAAGCAATGTCACATACACATATTCACACCGAAAGACTCACCAAAAGACTCATCACCATGATCAAAACCACTGCGCCCGCTACCATGCATCCTTTAATACCCATATACCCTATTCCAAACACTGCATATGCCCTCGAGAGAATCCGAAACACCGACCGCTATCGATAAAAAGCCCACGTTGAGCCAGGAGGACAAGGACGACAAGGACAAAGAAGAGGTAGCGCGACTGAAGAGGCGGATTACCGGTGAGTTTGATGGCCGCTATGTCGAACTGGTATTGATGTGCACGTCGGTAGATCTTCTCCGCACACTTTCGTTCGACGGAAGTGAAGAGTCCTCGTGCCTTCAGGGATACGAGATTGTCGACGAGAAAAACGGTGACCTGAACATCACTAAAGTCTACTTCATGGGGACGAAGGAGGTACGCTTCCCAGGTTCAGCTGAGCCGGACGTAGTGAACGCCCATGTAAAGCTATTGAAGCAGATCGAAGCCGAGAAGTCTTCCAAACAGTAACGTCATACTGTGGATCTTGTGGCTACAACGAGCAGAGACTTTGGGAAGGCGAGTTCGTATGGTAGACTTCGTGGCTACAATGACGGAACAGTTCGCTAGGGCGAGTTTGTGTGGTAGGCTTTACGGCGACAAGGAGGCGAAGGGAGGGGATATCACACGCTGCTGAAGCATGGAGAGGAATTCGAAGCTTGATAACGACTCGATAGACTGGTTGATGCTACGATGTATCCGTCAACCTCAATGTTAACTCATCCTACGAGCAGTCACAGTGACTCACCGGCTTCAAATGGTGACTTGGTGTTTCGTAAAGCTGCTTGCTTGGGCGCCATCATGGCTTTTGCGGCGCCGAACCTTCTCTGAGTCTCCGCAACTGCGTCATATACTCAAAGTCAGAGGTTTGCACTACCATCGTCCCCGTCCTCTGCCTCGATCGCGCCAGTCATCTCCACCTCCTCGTCCCCCTCTGCCCCCTCTTCCAAAGCCAAGCTCTCGATCTGGCGGCGCTTCACCTCTTCTCCATTCACCAAACGGCACACCACCTCCACTTAATCTTCGATCGTCGAATCTGCCTCCACCACCCCTACCACCTCTGCCGAAGCCGCCATAGTCTCCCCGTCCCCCGAAGCCGTTCTCGCGTGGCCGCCCGCCGTACGGTCCTGAAGGCGGTCCTCTACCCGGTCCAGATAGTGGCGGAGGTGCGGCCGGTACACTGCCGTCGGGTAGCGGGGGAAGTATAGCGCATGCCACATAGTCGCCTATCATAAATCTGACGTCCCCCAGTGTCTTGTCTGCGTCGCCGTCAAGCTGCTTGAGAGCCTCTGTGACACTTCCTCCCTCCACGCCATCCATATCAATGTCTTCATCTCTTGGTCGCGCGCCTATAATCACGGAGCCAATGTCGCGTGATATGAATCGTCCTGGCGCGCCTGGTCGGTTTGAGCCTTGGATGTCTGGGTATACGAGTCGAAATGCGATGCGCGATCCGGCGTACGGCTGCGGTAGTAATGTTGGTACTGCGCTCAGGAGTAGTGTGCATAGCTCGCGCAGACTACAGCTCTGCCATGTGTAGATTTGGACGTTGGTCGGGAGACGTGGTAGTGTCGGATCGAACTCGTCCAGTCTTTGGCTTATCAGTACTCTGTTCGCTTCATACGGTTACATAACTATGGAAATGCGCACCTATGGAATGAGTTTTGCTTGAAGAAGAGGCGCAACAGGAAGGGCGTCGTTGTTTGACGGTCAATCTTCGCGGGAGCAGCCATTGTGAGGTCTGCAGCCTTGTGGATAGCCAGGCTAGTCAATGTATGAAGATGCTTCGAGATTGGCAGGCACGTAGCGACAACTCGCTGGGAAAGTCGTGAGGAGGTGACGTCAGGCGCAAGATGTGAATGTGTTTGGAGAGTTCGGGGGAGAAGGAACGCGACCGGGACGCGGAGAGCTCCCACTAGCGTCGTTCCTCGGCACGTACCTTCCAGCGCAGGTGAGACTCCACGTCGCAACCAACACTGACTCATCTTCGACACATTGACTCACTTTAGACCCCGAACATCACAGTCGCCAACATGGATTTCGCAAAGTTGATGTCCGCACACATCAAAAAGGGCAAAGACACAGCCTCACCAGCCGAACCGACCGAGAAAAAGTACCTAAAGCGCAGCGAAATCGAAGCGCAACGGCAAGCCGCATACGTCGCCGAACAAGAAGCCGCGGAGAAGGCACGGCGAGAACGTCACGAGAAGAAGCGCAAAGCCGAAGAAGATGAAGCCGAGAGGGAGGCCGAGCGTCGGGGAAAGCGCATGCGCATGGCCGAGGAATCAAGACGCATAAGGGAAGAAGAGGAAGAGGCAGAAGAGAGACAGCGGCGAAAGCGGCTAGGTCTCCCTGATCTCCCGCCTAAGAAGAAGGACGGCGAAGGAGACGGCACACCTGTCCCCGAAGACGAAGATATCGACGACGAAGAACTAGTCGCAAAGCTAAGAGCCCTCGATGAGCCAGCGCGGCTATTCGGCGAGACACACAAACAACGCCTGAAGCGATACAAGAAGCGCGTCGGCGCAGACAGCCTAGCAGCCATCATGACGGACGGTCCGATACCCACAACACTACAACTCGTGCCGGAGAAGGACATGAAGGTCAGCCCCCAGGTACCCAAGGACAAGGAGGGCCGCGAGTTCCTCTTCAGACAATTGGCGAGCTATTTCACCATGGTGCTGAAAGAATGGGACCTCACGCTCCTACGTCGAGACCCCGAAGTCAAAGAGAGCTACCAAGGAAAACAAGCCTACGCAGCCATGGTACAAGCGCGCGAGAACATGCGACCACTGTTCAAGAAGCTAGAGAAGTTTGACCTTCCAGACAGTATCGTCGAGCCCGTTGTGGAAATTGTGCACGCTGCACAGGAGCGAAGATACGTCGACGCGAACGATGGTTATCTACGTCTCAGTATCGGCAAGGCGGCGTGGCCTATTGGTGTTACCATGGTGGGTATTCACGAGAGAAGCGCGCGAGAAAAGCTGCACGAGAGCGATAAGAATGCGGCGCATATCATGAGTGACGAGATGACGCGGAAGTATCTGCAGAGTATCAAGCGGTGTTTGAGCTTTGCGCAGACGAGATGGCCGCCAACGGATCAGTTGCAGCTCATGGGCTAAGTGAGTTGAAATGGATGATCGAGTATTTGTATGTAAATCAACCACCTCATTGCTTTACACTGCGGAAACGTTTACGAAGACACGGCCTTTTCGTTGGTCGCGCCACAGGTCGTTGTCAACAACGTGGTGGAGTCGTTCTTTCCTCATCGCGTGTGCACGTGCGGGGCAATGACAGAGCTTGATCTCACCAATCACCGTTTATCTCCGTCTGCACCATCGCCAGCCAACTCATCTCTCGCTCTCACATCAACACCAAGGCATCGTGTATTTACCCCGTTCCTTGAACAGACTACACCTCATTTGTCGCCATGCACGAAATCGTGACTTTGCAGTTCGGCAAGCAGAGCAACTACCTAGGCACTCACTTCTGGAACACACAAGTAGGTTGTGAATTCTTGGCGCTCCGTCGTCTCATCTAATATTTTCGCAGGAGTCCTACTTCACATACCCGCCCGAGCCAGAGTCACCTGTGAATCATGACATACTGTTTAGGCCAGGTGTTGCTCCAGATGGGTCCGATACTTTCACGCCAAGGACGCTCATATACGATCTCAAAGGTGCTTTTGGTAGCATGAGAAAGATCAATGCGCTATACGAGGCCGAAGACGACAGAAGCATATTGGATCAGAACGGTGTCTGGCCATCGAAGCCTATTGTACAGCGTGCAACAGAGACTATCCCACAATCCACCTATCAAGAGCACCTCGATGCCGGCCTACAGCCTCCTCCACTCAGTACATCGTCTGTCAGGTACTGGTCAGATTATAGCCGTGTCTACTACCATCCAAAATCCATTGTTCAGCTGTCGGAGTTCGACGTCAACGACAAGCTCATGCCCTTTGAGAACTGGGACGTAGGCATGGAGCTTTTCGAGAAGCTTGAAAGGGAAGTTGATCTGGTTGACAGAGATCTACGACCATTCGTCGAAGAATGTGATGGCATTCAAGGGCTCCAGATCTTCACGGGTGTTGATGACGCCTGGGGCGGTTGGGCCTCGGGATGGCTCGAGAGGCTGAGAGACGAGTACGGCAAGATGAGCATTTGGACGTGGGGCTTAGGTGACCATGGCGCCAACTCATCGACCCCTCGAGTAGGTTCATATCCAGGGTTTTGGAGGAATTACAGACTAACATAAAGCAGGAAAGACGCATACAGCAAGTCGCGAATTCTGCGCGATCTCTTCAAATACTTGGAGAACAGTCGTCAGTGTACGTACCGATGTCGAACAGCCCTGCTAAACTACCGGGCTATCTATCGTTAGATGCAACTTCTCCCTGGCATGTTGCAGCTTTACAGGTCATGGGTCTGGAAAGCATGACCATATCGTCACGTCTGAGAGCGTCTTTGGGCGGACGCGGAACGCTTCAGGACTTGGAAAACACTATCAACAGTACCGGGAAACGACGTATAGCGAAGCTCGAGATGAGTGCTGCAGATCCGGAGGTACTGTCAGATAAGGCTTTCGATGAAGCCGAGAAAGCGGAAAAGGTTGGTTCCATGACATCAAGGCAGACAAGTGAGGGCGACGATCGACTAAGCCATTTCGACATTGATACCTTCACTCGCGATTACAGAACGGCTACCAGGAAAGGAAAGAAAGACCACGTTTTTGGGCGAGCGGAGGCTTCTCGTGGAGAGTGGGCCCTGTCTGAAGACAACGAACGTGATCCTCATGACAGGTTCGATAGTGGACCAGCAGTGCAAAGGTATGTGTCACTTCATCGCCGTCGATGCGCATATCGTATTATCTGCGCTTGCAAATTGGGCGCGAAACGAGGAATTCAGGCTGACGCGTTTCAGATTTGCTGCACCGCTACTCTTTCCTTTGCTTGACAGCTTTCCTCGTTCGATGCTGGACGTAGGGTCCGGTCACTCCACTAAGCTTGCTGTACATACGGGGCTGACGACAAGTACCACTGTCGCTGATCAGATTCGAGCAGTCGAGCAGATCGTCAAGCGAATGGGCGGCATCGAAGAAAAGGAAGCGCTATGCAACGGCTTACAAGTCCTCGCGGAAGAATACGATGAAGGCTGGGATAGTGGATCAGAAAGTGATGACGACGATTAGTCGCGTTGCAACGAGCCTGCTTTTTTCCGCGTGGCTGGCGCACAGTGTTTTGATGGAAATGACAGCGCGTCTGCTCCCGGCCTCAATACACAAGGATATTACCATCAGACACGACCGATTGATCTGCGACACAACACTCTGGTGACACCAATACAACACATACCTTTGCGCGATTCGTAGCGGATGCGCAGGGCCGGAATTTCTGTGCTCGAAGAACTTTCCATCACTGAGCAAGGCACTGCGACATCTGACGGACGTTGAGGTGCCGCCACGACGGTACA